GAATCCTCTTCAACGGGTCTCGATGGGACGAACCCCTGACGCTTGCCGGTGACTTCTTCTATCTCTGGTACATGCGGCTCCATCGTGAGTGCTAGCGTGCTTCGATGAACCCAATCCGACGTTCGTTCTCTTCTGACGGTAGCGTCGTCGTCTTCTATTTCCTCGTCGTCCTCTGATTCGGCTTCCAGGGCGGCGACACGTGCGGCAGCCAATTCCACAACCTTTCGAAGTAGCTCCTCCCGTGCCTTGGCCAGAGCCTTCTTCTTCTGCGAGGCCGTGGTGCGAACCGTGCGTGCCGTGCCGTGCTTCGGTTCCTTCTTCCTTGCTGTCTCCTCTGTCGTTCCTGTGGCTTCGGTAGTCTCCGTGGCTCCTGTGGTCGTCGTATCGCCGGACGTGTTCGTAGTCGATGTGGTGGCGGCGGTAGACGACGTGGCAGCGACAGATGACATTCTGACAGCCGCAGACGACGTGGTGGCAGCAACGGACGGCGTGGCAGCGACGGACAGCGTTCCGGCGGCCGTAGTCGACGTGGCGGCGGACGCTGTGGCTTCGGTGACGGCGATTTTCTGCTGCGACGACTTCATGTTTCTCGTAGTCGGCATTTCAGCGATCCGGCTTCAGAATGGTCTTCCTCCAGCGATCCGGTTTCTCGATGTACCAACGGTGTTCCTCCAGCAATCCGGCTTCTCGAAGGACCACGATGTGCGGTGTGGACTGCCGTTCGGTGAGCGTGGACTGTAGGGGCGTTGGTTCAGGCTGGAGTGAAACACAGGGATTACTATTCTGAAGCCTCCGGTACCGTCTGAAGAGAGTATTTTTTCTTCTTGTCCTATTTCTTCTCGAGTGTAGTGCGCCGCTGCCCGGAAGCGAATGCCGCTCGACGGGAGGCGGCCTATCTTTATACCCGCCCGCTCGCACGATAATGTTTCCAACTCGCGATAGCGATCTGTGCGAGCGGGACGGGGCGAAAATGAACGAGACGCGTGTCTCTTCAGATCGGTACTCTATAGCGTCTATTTATTTATTTTATTTCAATTTACAATTTCTTAATTCTATTTATTGTTACAATTTCTATTCGTAGGTAATAACGACAACACGCAAAGGAATACTTTATTTAACTTACACTATCTTAAATCTATGTAAATCTATATAAAATAACAGAATACAGAAACGATTAACTAGGGACTTAACAACTATAAATTACGATATATACAAATAATGTCGCGAACAATACAACTGGTAGCGTTACGTAATACTTCAATGTCCCTATTGCACAAGTTATTAAATTACAGACAAGTAACTACGCGAATCTATATTCTGTACGTTAAATGGTGCTCGTAATTTTATTGAACTTTGAGAGTCCAGAGTTAAATCCGTTAAAGTTAACGTGACCTGTGTAATTGGTCAACATTTGAACAATTTTTCACACTCGGAACTTATGTTGAAGCTGGTCTTAACTCCTGATTATTTACTAGGTCACAGTTGTATCCATTCTCAGTATACTCACATACGACTATTGTTCGCAGATTATTGGATGTGTCCATAATATATATATATATATTGTATCGTATTTAATGTAGACATGATTTTTAGTATATTTGTTTACTTGTGAAAGCACATCTACTTTGCTTGTGAGTTTTTTTTTTTATTATTTTTAATGGATGTTAATGAAATGGTAACACCGTCTGCGCTATCAGTGTACACTGGCGGGGCACCAGTGAGGGATAGGTGAGAATAAAAAGGCAGTTCAGTTAGCCCATCGTGGTGAATGCACCTGGAATTCAGCACGAGGGTTTCCAGGGGGTATGAGGTGGTATGAGGTGGAGGTGGAGGCGGCGGGGTGTATAGTGGTGTGCGCGTGCGCAGGCCGCGAGAGCCGCGCGCGGTCGCGGCTGCTGGTGCTGGAGCTGTGCGCGGGCCCGCTGCGCCGCCGCCTGCAGCGCGCGCCGCTCTCCTGGGCCGAGTTCGCGGCGCTCGCGCACGGGCTGGCCGCCGCGCTCGCGCACCTGCACACGCCTAGTCAGTACACATTCCTACCTGACTTTCTTGTCAGTTTTTCTCGTCTCGGAATCGTTCCGAACTGACGGTACATTTGACGTATCATAGGAGGTCTGTAATAGACCTACATGTATAGAAATATTTTGAACTTGAATTTGAATAGCTTTTTTTTTCTGATGAACATAAACTGGTAACCCCATCTGTGCAAATGAGTATAATCAGTGAAAGAGTAAACTTGAAGTCAAGTCAAGATTATGATGAATTTATCTGGAATTAACCGCTATGGTTTCCATAGGGGATCACTTGGAAATCCACCTGATATATGTATATTGTTGGTAATACAATCATTGAAATCATTGCTAATAAACATTTTCCCTCTCGTACCTATCTATGGTGTTTGAATATGTTTCAGTTTTATATAAGAATGGATTTACCGAATATGAAAGCATATCTTATTCATCAGAATGGCTACTCATAACTTCACTACATAGTATAAAACAAAGTCGCTGTCGCTGTCTGTCCGTCCCTATGTATACTTATATCTTTAAAACTACGTAACGGATTTTGTAGCGGTTGTTTTTAATAGATAGAGTGATCCAAGAGGAAGGTTTATATGTATAATACATGCATAATATTGTAGAGAAACACTGATAATTTTAAAGATTTCTAATGCGATGTGATGAAATGTGCACCCGTGCGAAGCCGGGGCGGGTCGCTAGTATGAGTTATAAATTATACAGCAACATTGGACTTCACAGTCTACTTTGTGGTACCCATATATATACTAATCCTATCTGTAGACAATTTGGTCGTCTGCTTGAATCCAATTATATGTTTTTTTTTTCTTTTTTTTCTATAAGATTACTGTTTCTATTAAATCCATATTACTGAAGAAATTATTGCAATAAAGAAATTATTCTCCTCCTTAGCGCCGACAAAACCGTGCGTAGTTCACCGCGATGTCAACAGCAACAATGTGCTGATCTCCTTCGATGGTCAGGCTCGCCTGGCGGACTTGGGTCTTGCCCAGGTTTTGCACCCCAGAAGGGACCGCGCTACACCCAGTAGAATTACCGAGGTAATTGTCTAATAATTGTTTCTGGAATTCAATATTGGAATACTTATTGAAAAAAAAATCATTTCAAATTTCACTTTGTATAAACTATTGTTATTTTTTTGTGAATATTAGGTAAAATCGTTTGTCAATACGGTCCTTCTAGCCGGATCTGATCCATCTGAGTCGGATATAATTTCTTGTCACCTTGAATTCGCGATTTTTTAAAGAAATTTTATATATTTTATAGGCGGGTACGCTGCGCTACCTGTCGCCGGAGGCGCTGGAGGGCGCTCTGGACCTGTGCGGCGCTCGTGCTGCCCTCTGCGCCGTGGACGTGTTCGCGCTCGCGCTCGTGCTGTGGGAGATGCTGTGGCGCACGGCGGGTGCACACCGCGGGCCGCCGCCGCCCTACCGCGCGCCCTACGACACGCTCGGCCTGCCGCCCGCGCCCACGCTGCACCAGCTGCAGGTACGCTGTCTACTGCACCTGCACCTGCACCTGTGTCTACCGCGCGCCCTACGACACGCTCGGCCTGCCGCCCGCGCCCACGCTGCACCAGCTGCAGGTACGCTGTCTACTGCACCTGCACCTGCACCTGTGTCTACCGCGCCCTACGACACGCTCGGCCTGCCGCCCGCGCCCACGCTGCACCAGCTGCAGGTACGCTGTCTACTGCACCTGCACCTGCACCTGTGTCTACCGCGCGCCCTACGACACGCTCGGCCTGCCGCCCGCGCCCACGCTGCACCAGCTGCAGGTACGCTGTCTACTGCACCTACACCTGCACCTGTGTCTACCGCGCGCCCTACGACACGCTCGGCCTGCCGCCCGCGCCCACGCTGCACCAGCCGCAGGTACGCTGTCTACTGCACCTGCACCTGCACCTGTGTCTACCGCGCGCCCTACGACACGCTCGGCCTGCCGCCCGCGCCCACGCTGCACCAGCCGCAGGTACGCTGTCTACTGCACCTGCACCTGCACCTGTGTCTACCGCGCGCCCTACGACACACTCGGCCGAACAAATAACTTATAAGAATTATAATGGACCTCACCTTATGTTTTATGATTTCCAACAGCACCTGTTCGTATCTTTTCGTCATGTAGACTATTTTCTATTTTTATTATCATGTTTAGAAAGTATTATATTAATTAGAATTCCTATTTGATGGAAACTGGTAATCATTACATAGACACCTTGAAGATACTGCAGAATAAAACTCTGATCCCATGGTACTCCTGATGCTATTCGAAATCAAGAAAGCATATTAAATATTCCGCCCTATACTTATAAACTACAATATGGCAAAAACCTTATTATTTATTCATAATTTAAAAAAGTAAAACATCCCTTGTGTTCTGTGTCGCAGAATCTAGTATCCCGCAATAAAGCGCGTCCGCCGCTGCCGCGCGGACCGGTGCCCGAAGCGAGAGCTCTCAAAATCGCCACCGACACGTGCGACGAATGCTGGGATCACGACGCAGAAGCCAGGTACCCTTTAAATGTAGTTTATATACTTCTTGTCCCGCCAAACCGTTTAGTTTACCAGCGTAGTATCCAATGTACCGCTACAATGTCCTGTCCCACAGCTACCTCTAGTGTCCTAACACAACGTCTAGTGTTTCACCCACTATGTCTGATATCCCATAGCAGCGTCTAGTCTCCCACTACAGAGTCTTATGTCATATTGCAGCGTTTAGTGTTCCACGTCAGCGTCTAGTATCCCGCTGCAGCGTCTAGTGTCCCACAGCAACTTCTAGTGTCCCACAGCAGCGTCTAGTGTCCTACTATAGCGTCTAGTAACCCACAACAGCATATAATGTCCCACAGCAGTATTTAGTACCCCACACCATTGTATAATACCTCACAGTAGCGTCTAGAATCCCACAATAGCGTCTAGTATTCAACAGCAGCGTTTAGTGTCCCACTGCAGCGTCTAGTGCCACACAGTAGCTTCTAGTGTCCCACAGCAGCGTCTAGTACCCCACAGTAGTGTCTTATTGTCCCACAGCAGCGTCTAGTGTCCCACGGAAACGTCTAGTTCCCCACAGTAGCCTCTAGTGTCCCCCACAGCAGAGTCTAGTGTCCCACAGCAGCGTCTAGTGCCCCACAGCAGCGTCTAGTGCCCCGCAGCAGCTTCTAAAGTCCTACAGCAGCTTTTTAGAGTCCCATGTTTTTTTGTTTATGAGAACCCTCCTCGGCCTTTAACGAATATTTCGAAATAAAATTTGCATAATTAGTCCGTTCTCGAGTTTTTCACTTAGCAACATATTCAATGATTCATTTTTATTTATATGCATTTCTTATATAAAGGTTGACGGCCGTGTGCGTGGAAGAGCGTATGGCTGAGTTGAAGCAGATGCTACAAACTCAGGGGCCCGTCATACACGACAACAATTTGCATCCGCATCCGCCAGGTAAGAGTTTTAACCCTTTGGCCGCTCGGCTTCGTAGCAATCGCCGATAATGACGAGGAATTTTAATTTTAAAAACTTTTATTTTATATTCCGTCTCTATTACTTTGTTAATCTTTCTTACATGTATTAATAAATAAATAATTAAATAAAAATATATATATGTTTCCTCCAAAAGATTACAATTTTTAATTTTCAATAAAATAATATTAAAAATAACTACGGTTTAATAAAACAGATGCAAGCAATCCCCACCCGGAACCAGACAAGAACTCCAACTGTACAACAAGCCAGCCGAACCAGCAATCCTGTGACGTCACCACCCCCCTACTGTACCCCCAACCACACATCGGCCGCAACGCGTGCATAGAACGCAACACGCACACAAACACACAGACACACACCGTGGAGCTCATACATAAAAGCCTCAAAGACATCACCGCTCCGGTAGACGGCGTTAGGGTGCAGAACGTCGAAGAAAACTGCTTATCTGTAGCCAGAACGAATCCGAGACAAATACAGGAGAATTCTGAACGGCTAAACGAGATCAGGTCCTACCAGAGGCCGCTGGATTATGTTCAAAATGACGTCAGCTCCCACGAAGACAGAGGTCCCAAGCAAACGAATCTACTCCAAGATGTCAAAGTGGAAAAACCCAAATGGGGCATCAGAAAGTTCTTCGAACGACTCAACAAGAACAACAAACTCGAGACAGAAGTAAAATTAGTACCTGAATCGTGTGCCGTACAAAACGGTAAGGTCAAAACGTCCCTAATCGACAAACCTAGCAATATAACCTTTGATAGACCATCCAATTTGACCTTGAGTCAGGACAATTACAATTTTGAGGGACCGTGTACACTGTCGCCACCCAACAGAACACTGTCCCCAACAATGATGCTCGAATCTGAATTGAACAGAGAAAACAAAGTATTCGGCTTCAAAGAAATACCAATCGAAAACGACAATAAGGCTCCGAACCAGATATTTGCCGTCATAGTTCCTAAAGCGAAACCCTCAGATTTCACCGACATTCGCAGCAAGTCTAGAGGAAGTTCAGAAAGTATCAACAAGTTTCGATCATCAACGTCCTCGCAATCCATATTCAAGTCGGCAAACTCAGAGTCCGAGGACTCCACAGTGAAGAAACGGCTGAGTTGTGATAACAAAATTATCACCAACTCAAATAGCGGTAGCTCTTCCAGGGCTAGTATTAATCTGGAATTGCAATATATAAATACTCAAGCCGATTACAACCATAGTCCATTCGATATGAACTCAGAATGTTCTAGCAGCGAAGACGAGCACCTCATGCTATTATCCGAGAACGGAGGCTCGAAAATAACCATGCAAACGGTAAAATTGGAGCCGGACAAGAAGAAATACCAGAACGAAGTGCTAAAGGAGTCGAGTCAAGTGACTGACTTTGGTTTCAACAAATACCAAAATAAGTACACAAATTTCGAAAACGAATTCAGCGATCCAAACGATAAGGAGAACCTAGTGAACGGATACAGCGGTGACAACCCTGTATACTTGGCTGCTCTGAACGGGGAAATTGACACGTCAGAACTCAAGTTTTTGGGTACAGACGTGGAAAAGAGCCCGAAGTCTCCGAAGCCTTCATTGAAGAATTTGTCTATAAAACGGCAGCATTCTTTGGAGCAGGTGAGTGAGATATTCTCCTCGTCGTGCGATGTGACCCTTCAGAACCCAGCTGGGAGGGTGAAGACCCCGGGGGACCTTCCAGCGGCAGTGCGGAAGGCGAGGAGGGACCGCGCTCTTCAAAAAGGTAGGGCCAGTGAATGTAATAGGTTAAGTTTGTATGACGATAGAATGATGTTTGGAAACAGCTTGTGAATTATGTTTGTATGAATTAAAATATGTATGTGAAGGTAGTCTTGAGTGCATTAGCAAAATTAAATTTTTAAAAAGGTTATTACACCTTCTTTAAAAAAATAATCATTTAGTAACAGTTGCCTACAGCTTTGCACGTGTATTGTGTTTACCCTTGAATTTGAAATTTTACAAAATCCATCCTTAGTGGCTGCTTAAGTTATAAAATAAACTTAAGTTCCAAATTTCAGCTTTCTAGACTTAATAGTTTTGGTATTTCTTGTGTGGGTATTGTCAATCCCGGTTTTGCATGCACCAAGGCTGTCATACACTCTGCAATCCCAGTGGAATATGTACAAAATACGAATGTACAATTTAATTTGAAATAAGAACTATTTTATTCTTAATTTGAAAATTTTCTTTTCTAATTGTAAAATATGTGTTTTCAACCAGTGTCTTAATTGATATTAGATGATATAAATTGTTCAAACGAAGGACAAAAATCTTTAATTTTTTTTTTAATCGATAGGATATTTTCTTATTGTATTAAAATCAATTAATTGTATTAAAATTAATTTCCTACATGCACACATAAATTCTTTAAAGAATTTATGTGTGCATGTAGGAAAGTCGTTAGATTTAAATTGTGACAAATATGGTATTGAAAAGTATGTTATTTCTTAATGTTAACTTATGTGGTGTCCCACACAAGCGATTAAATGTAATACTAATAATATAGCTGAGCTATTTAAAAATATATAAACACTATTATTGTATATAACAACTAACATATTGTAATGATATATATATATATATATATATATAAGAATCTCTTTACTTACCTACATTCCTCGTTCCGCGAACAAATCGACAAACATTATAGTTTTAATGTTAATATAATAAATACTAAGTTGTAATTTTATTAAAATACTATTGTTATGTAATAACTACACTGAGTCATACTACTTTCTTGTGTTGTCTTTTCTCGTGTGTACATTTTGGGATTGTTCAATTACTTGCACAGTTTATAGGATGATTACACTAATATTTTGGCTATATTATGTTTCAGTAGGACTTAACGAAAATGATGTCGTTTATCTCCAATAATAGTACAAATAAAAAGTCGATTAATTGATTGGACGATTCGATTTATTACAAATATCATTTGGTGCAAGAGCCTTCGTCCCTTCCGTCGTAGATATACCTATATATATATATATATAATTTGCACCGATTTAAAAACATGTGAATAGGCAATTCGTGGACCCGCGAACCTCATTTTAGTTCTCAAAATCGCTATCCATCAGGTGAGATCGTGATAAATCCCAGGACCTTTCTATAGTCCTATATAAGAGATCCCGTAATAATCTCAAAAAAACTTGGTCACCTTTTCGTTAAGTTCTACTCGTAACAAAATATTTTGAAGGTGTTAAACTTATTCACGAGTCCCTCGCAATCGAATAAAGTCGATAGAAATATAAAACGATTATTATATCGAATGAATAAAAATCGATTTGTGTATAGCATAAAATAGCGCAACGATGTCGTTGTATCGCTTATTATATTAAAGCATCGAGGTGGGACATCTACTAGCTATGCTAGCGACCTCTGTGGCGCAATAGTGCAAACTGACATGAAATATTCATGGAATAGCGACATCTGTTTTGATTTTTGGTTAGTTGGTTTAAAGAATTGTTACAAAATGCCACTTCAAACATTTGTTTTATGAAACAAGAGTCATTATTATTGCATTTAGATGTAATTATATATTATTACTAATGTGAGAGTACTAATTAGTTTAAACATTAGGAATGGATAATATATGCCAATATCTATATATTGTAGTTATAATATCTATATATCGGAGTATTAGCCCATCGTGATGAATTGGAATTCAGCACGATAGTTTCCAGAGGGGACCACGTGGAGGTCGACCTGTTTGGGTATATTACCAGCAATGCGACCCATAATTTCCATTATTAACAATCCTTAAAAAGCCGCATGTGCATTAGCGTGCACAAACGTGCAGACAAACAGAAAAATTCTAAAAATCATTGTTTTGGGTCCTATTGCGCTCATGAAGGCCCCCTATAATAGTTTTTCTTATATATCTTCCATGTACAGACAGCGACCAGTTACGATTTTATTGTATATATTGAATAAACCAGTATATAAATATAGTAACTAAAATATATATATATTGCTATATATTACCCATACCTAGTATCATATCCATGTACAATATATGGATTTATTTTGTATAGCTCACACCATTTAATGTGTATTCCCTTAAATTCATTATATAAAACGATCATTGATATTCGTATATCGATACAGTCGAATAAGTATATGTGTTTTAAATTAGGAATTAAAAAAAAATTGTTTATGCTGCGTACAGGTAGCTAAGAACAAGGAATTACATAGAAGGAATGTTAAAATAAAAACTGTAAATAATATAGTTGCTTCCTTTCTTCTTATGCAAATATAATTAGTAAAAAGAGGACGAAAGATACACCGTCAGTTGCAGATTTCTCAGTTCAAAGCAGACTAGTGTATAGATGTTATACGGCCGTATAACCCTACCAAATTCAGATACAACCCGCTTGCATACTTTCTACATAATCTGTGTCGAATATATAATCTAGTAATGTAAAATTTGTCATTGACAAATAATTGACATATCAAACATTTTCTATACACTAGCCTGCTATGAATTGAGAAAAATAGCAACTGATGTTGTATCTTTCGTCCTCTTTTTACTAATTATGTCTGCATAAGAAGAAAAGAGACAACCATATGATTTACAGTTTTTATTTTAACATTCCTTCTATGTAATTCCTTGTTCTTAGACAGGTAGTAAGGTAAATATCTATCTTCACAAGTAAATATATATGTACAGTATTTTAAATTGCGTCTAATATTAGAAATGTGAAAGTGAGTTCGTTTGTTACCTCATAGCGCCTAAACGGTTTAACCAATTACTATGTAATTTAGTATATACGTACTTTATGGGATAAAGTACGTACTAAAAATACCAAAAGACTACAGCATGGGGTTCTTCTAAAGAGAGTGAAGAGGTTTCTGCAGAGTCGGCGACGCTTGCGTAATACCCCTGGTATTGCAGGCGTTCATAGGCTACGGTAACAAGCTGACGGCCCACCTGATGGAAAGTGGTAACCGTCGCCTATAGACATGAGCAGTACCATGGACATAACAGAGTATACTGTTTCGCCCATGATACCCCTCATGCGTTGCCATTCCTGAGGACTCGAGTGTTATTCCTCTGTACCCAGTAAATTCACGCCATATCCCACCCTTCACACCGAAACACAGCCATGCAAACACAACTGCTTCACGGTTGAAACACGAATGGGACAGAGGTGCCCAAGTAATCAACTTTTGTACAAAGTCTCCCTCTGGTCCGACCGGACCGGACCGGAGACAATGGTGCAGCTGCTTATCAGCGACAACACTTTTGTCTCCGGTCACCGCTGTCTGATATCATAAGCCTATGCCTCTGATCTGCCCACTCTCTACTTTGATATCATTCGTTAACTGTTCATTACTAAGCATACGGCTCGCCTTAGGAGTTCTGCCAATAGTTGCCACGCTTGGAGACGGGTTGGCAACCGCAGTGAGTCTTTGATGGTGTTTTAAGATGGACGCTGCTGCCTATCCCTCGAGCATTCATCATTTCAGCCATTATCCGTCCACTGCTGGACATAGATCTCCCCCATAGACTGCCATAAGGAACGGTCCTGAGCCACCTGCATCCACTGACTTCCCCCCTCGACTATTAGTTATTTATTATTGGATTTAAGCCTCAAACTCGTGTGCATGACAGGGATAAATGGTATACTACGTCCCCCTCCATCTCATATAGAACGTGCATACCAAATAGCATAGTGATTGGATGAGCCGTTAAGGCGCTATAAGGTAACAAACAACCTCACCTTCACCTTTATAATAACAGTAAGGACTTTCTCATGTAAATTACTTTTTTTGTCAAAACTCTGCTATTTCTTAATTCTCTTCGTACAAGGCAATAGCACAGTCTAGAGAACAGCGGGTCTTCCATGAAATGAAATTCCGAAATTTCGGACTCAATTTCGTGTTTTTGTTTATACCAAAATCGGATCAATAAATGGAATTTAATATTTCGTTTATCATACATCCTATCATAAAAGTCCAAAGGAACAATATTTTAACATTTTTAATATTTCCAAACAGCATGTATTATGTAATTTTAACATCAAATTTGTGCTTTATTCTTTCTTTATTCTTTATTATACACTAAATGTTATTGAAATGTAAAAACAAACATAATAGTGCACAAGGACGAGCTTATCTCCAATAGAGATTTCTTCCAGCAAACCCAATATGAGAAAACTGACAGTTCATTAGTACACTCCTCGCAAAAATTAAGGGAACATAAAAATTTTTGAAATTTTTGGGTGATTTTCAACAGGCTGTATTTCAGTGAAAAATAATCGTACAGGAAATTTAAAAAAAGGGTTTTGAAGATTGAAAACTCTAGTTTTCAGATTTTTTGGTGAAAAAATTTTTTGAGCTCCGGTTTCCATGCAATTCTTAAACAAAGCTGAAAATAATTTTTTTCTAAATTTTCTAGGTTTCGTTTTTTTACTCTATGGGCATGGAAAAATTTTTTCGAGCTACTCCATTGTATAGGTCTCTTAGCGTGTTTATTCAGCTTCAAAAATCGCTTTGGATGGCTAAATTACGACCATTTGTCTCCGAGATATCGAACTTTGAATGCAAAAGCATCCTTTTCCATTCAACTGCTAATATCTCTGGAACTACTGGTCGCACAGCAAGCGGGCGCCAAATTTCTTTATCTGAATAAAATTTCCAATTAAGCACAGTCAAGAGTTAGTGAAGAAAAAATTTTTTTCCACCTCTAACATTGAATTGAAAAAAGTGGAAAAAAGTGACTTTTTCTCTTTTTTGGTTACTTGGCTGTATCTTCGCTAATATGGGCGGGAAAGCTAAGGTTTGAGGAAAATTTTACAGTCTATTGTTCCTTAAAGAACCCCCTAAATCCCTGGAGCGATCAGTTCAACGGTTTTTCCCGGACCAATTGATTGAAATTTTGGAAAAAATAAGGGAACAAGGTTTTTGTCCCTTAAACTCACCCTAATCCATTCAAAAATCAATAATTTCATTTGTTTTTCACTTTTTACTCAATTTTTTGTTTGTTAAAAATTCATTATCAAAAAAAAAATCGAAAAAAATCAAGAAAATTTTATGCAGATAAAGAAACTCGGCGCCCGCTTGCTGTGCGACCAGTAGTTCCAGAGATATTAGCAGTTGAATGGAAAAGGATGCTTTTGCATTATAAGTACGTACATCAACATTGTGAGAGGTAATAATTCTTCAGACGTGTTTTGAAAATCCCAATTCTTGGGCTGTTTCTAATTTCATGAGGAAATGTGTTCCATAATCTAATTGTGCTTCGTTTGGCTCCGAAATTTCGGAAAACACTTCATGGTAGGCCCTCTGTTCTACCGATCGTCTAACAAACATCTAGAATTCTAGACGGAGCAGTACGTACCAAATTGTTATATCATCGTTCGGGATATACCCCTCACCAGGGCCATCTTTCACCTATTAGAGGCCCTGGATACATTGGGATAATGGGGCCCCTATGACCATAGTATTAAAGCATAGGTTATCAAACGATTATGGAGTAGAGACTAGACTAGGGGGCCCCAATCCATCCCAGGGCCCCGGCACGTGCCCAGTTTGTCCAGTAGAAAGAGGGGCCTGCCCCCCACTGGTTGTTTTATACCCTGTACGCAGTATTATTACCTCAGACGCGTTTTATTGCTGTTTTTACATGATTGCCCAAAAAAAAGGAGTGTAGTGTTTTCAGAGTTTAGTTATATATGTTTATGGATTTTGTTTTATTTCGCCATAACTTCTAAACGTCTGAATCGTTTAGGATGTATGAGATACCATTAAAGTCGCTGGTTATTTGATTAAGATTATTTTGTTTAATTCCGCCACCATTAGTATGTGTGTAACTGCCAACACTCGAAGATTGACCACCATTATTACTACCAGAAGTTCCATAACCTTCCATATTAGCTATCAATCTCCGACTGCCATTTCGTCCACGCGCGTTTTGTGACGCGCGTTTCACCTGTAAACGAGGCATCTTTAGGCAAATTATTAGATCGCTTTTCAAAGCCTTGTTAAATGTTAACCTTTCGGCGTCCAAATTGTAAAACCGTTAGAATGCATACATCGTAATTTTTAAAGAGTTCTTTTTTTGGCGGGGCAATCGTGTTTATTAATTTGCGGAGCAAAATGTCCTTGTTATTGTCGATAAATCGATGTCTTATTTAAAGACGTTTAATATAGTTTATTATGTTTTAAAAGTGTACCGTTGATTTTATATTATGGTCCGTCGCATGCTAAAACCACATAGAGATTTATCCCCTTATTCATAGAAACTGAAACGTCGTACAAAAATATTAACAATCACCATTAAAAAGGGCGTTCGCAATACGGTTGTTTTTTTTTTAAAGTTTCTTGGTCTGGGTAATGTATAGCAATATGTATATATTTTAGTTACAATGTCTATATACTGGTCCAATAATGAATACATTAAAAGTCTGTTATGTAAAAAAGTTATATTGGATAATAGACTTTTAACATATTCGAAAATATATATCCGACCGATATGGGCGATATCGAAATGGGTGATGACCATTTTACCGCCATCGATGTCCAGAGAAACCCAATATATAGATATCGGATCGATATTACCCATACCTGTTATCTCGTAGCACCGTTAGTTTTATATATATATATCGACATCGCTAGCGAGTCCGTGAGACAGAATGAGATAGCAATGTCGGATGACTCATTCCAACTCACGGACTCGCTAACGATGTCGATTCTATCGACGAATTCGCTTGCCACTTGTCTAGAGGCCCAGGTATGTACTTGTAACTAATACAGTGCTAAATTTATTGGTATCCTCTATGAGTTACTAAGCCATTCGTGTTTCAACCGTGAAGCAGTTGTGTTTGCATGGCTGTGTTTCGATTTGAAGGGTGGAATATGGCGTGAATTTACTGAGTACAGAGGAATAACACCCGAGTCCTCAGGAATGGCAACGCATGGGGGGTATCATGAGCAAAACAGTACACTCTATTATGTCCACGGTACTGCTCATGTCTATAGGCGACGGTTACCACTTTTCATCGGGTGGGCCGTCAACTTGTTTGCCATTCTAAGTTGTATAAAAAAAAAATTCAAAGCTGGAGTGCAAAGGGTTTCTTACGTAGGACGTACGTCCTATATTTTAGCTTTATTTTCTGATACTAAACTAATATACAATTCAATATTTGTATTCCTTGTTCACAATTCTTTTTGTAAACGATTAGTACAAAAATTTAGTACCGTTTTAATTTTGTAACGATTGATACTACCATTTTTCTTTGCAGAGCAACAAAAGCACTTTTTTTATATCTATATAAGTGGTCACGCAATATTTAGGTACAATGCCTGTCTATACAACATCTCAATTCGTAGTCATCTCATACTATTTTTATATTGATCCGTGTGTGGCGCTAGTGTGCGATGGCCCTACCGATTGTGATTATTTATTTGTAAATAGATCGTTCCTATCCATCAGCCATGTTGAATTTATTTTTGTTATGTTTAGTAACAGGTTTTATGTTAATGATTATGTGATACATTGAAATAAATTTAATTACGACACATTTTTACTTGTTTTTATTAACTTATCTATACCGTACCAAATGTAATTAGCAATCAGAGGGAACCGTGAAATGTTTTTCGATATTTCAAGGCGGAATGATACACAAATTTGATGTCAAAGGTGCACAATCAGAGGGTCTACGATGAAGTGTTTTCTAAAATTTCAAGGCCGAACGAAACACAAGTTTGATGTTAAAAGTGCAAAATACATCATATCTCTAAGTCTCTACTGCTGAACTTAAGCCCTCCCTTGGGGAATTTTGTCAATACTTGCCATGCTTGGCAGGCGGATTAGCAACCGCAGTTAGGTTTTGGAGACGTTTTAAGAAGGACTCTGCTGCCCATCCCTCGCCCTCCCTTAGACGCCTCTTTCGACACCTGCAGGCAAGGAAACGATGGCCCATTCTATGCCGGGACCACACGGACATGACCATTGATATATTGTTTCAAAATTTTAAAAATGTTAAAATATCGTTCCTTTGGACTTTTATGGTAGGATTACGAATACGAAATAGGCGTACGAAATGTTAAGCTCCACTGCACCGATTTCGGATTCGAAAATTCGGATTTTCATTTTATGGTAGACCCCCAGTTTGCAATAGTCGAAAATTGCTCATAAGGTATTCATTACCAGACATTATACAGTATTACAAGAAGGAGTCTTTGTACAAAATTCATTTGCTTGGCCACCTCTGTTCCATACATGTTTCTACCGTGAAGCAGTCGTGTTTGCATGGCTGTGTTTCGGTTTGAAGGGTGGGATATAGCAGTGAATTTACAGGGTACAGAGGAATAACACCTGAGTCCTCAGGAATAGCAACGCATAGGGGGGAATCATGAGCGAAACACTATACTCTGTTATGTCCATGGTACTGCTCATGTCTGTAGGCGACGGTTACCACTTTCCATCAGGTGGGCCGTCAGCTTGTTTGCCATTCTAAGTTGTATAAAAAATATAAAATTGCCATTCTAAGTTGCATAAAAAATCCTAAGGTATCATATAACCTACTCGTGTAACAAATTCCGTTCAATTCTTTTTAGTAATTTTTGCATGAAAAAGTAAAAAATCATTTATTCATACATCCTCAGACACTTGCATTTATTATATTGGTAAATTTTAAGTTTTGCATATTTTTGATAATATCGTTCAACGCTTATCAGCGTTTCGATAGTACCAAGCTCGAATCCCAACTTAAATCCATGATTATATTGTTTTATTTCAATGGGTGATAATAGAATAGTAACCCCGCCTGCGCTATTGGTATACGCTGGCGAGACACCAGTGAGGGATGACAGGTGAGGATAAAAGCAAGTCAGTTAATCCATCGTGCCGAATTCCACTAAAATTAACCACGATGGTTTCCAGGGGAACTGCGTGAAGGCAGGTTTATTTTATTTTTATTTACACATACACTAAACAAACTTTTCACTTAAATACTTCCAGCAGCAGTATTTCCAAACCGATACGACAACATAACCTTCAAGAAAAGAGTATATTCCTTTTTAAAAGGCCGGCAGCACACCTGCAATGCCGCTGGTGTTGTGGGTGATCATGGGCGGCGGTAGTCACTTACCATCAGGTGAGCCGCACGCTCGTTTGCCCCTGTTTTTTTAAAAAAAATATATATATTTTATATTTATACATGTT